ACTTTCTTGCAAAGACACCTGACTCCCATGATGTTTTTTGTTGTTGAGGCAAAAGTGAGAAAGATAGAAATGGGCGATGACTGAAAAGAGCGAACCCACTTGAGAGTGATAAAAACATCTGCTGACAATCTGGTAGCCGGATCTCCTGGGTACCAGAAAAAAACTGGTGGGTGGTGTACACGATACAAAGAAAGGGAGTCCCTGAATGTCAGCATCTGGCGAGGCCACGTGTAGCACGATCTGATGAGTTTTCAGTTCCACACCCACAAGCTGGAAGATAAAAACACACACCCCTCCTCCCCGAGGAGGTAAAAATCTCGAAGCCTCAACACCGTATTTACATTCTGCAAGTCAGGCTCTTCAGCAGCCCGATTTACATGTTGACTTCTCCGGTGGTGAGGTAGAAATGCGTCGATGAGAGAGCAGCTCACGTCCCTTTCCAGTCACCACATCCAGCAGACGCAAGATTGCTTTGCTTTGATCTGGAAGACGTTCCTTTATTTAGTTTAAACTGAAATGATTAATCTGGAGTTGCAGCCTCCTTACATCTGCCACAGCTGGGATGTGATAATTTAACAATAGGTTGCATGTGCGATTTTAACCGCTCCAAAGCCATCCTGCGTTGCCGTGTTTAAGCAGCAAGCACAGTCACGGTCTGCCTGTCTGCAGTTTGGACTGACTCTGTTGCACTGCATCAGTACTGTTTTCTGGTTCAGTTTATGCAAAATGGCCAAAACGGGTGCTGCAGTGGCAATGCTTTTTGTCACCGGAAACTGTAAGACGCAATTTGGCATTTGTTTCAAAATGACTGAGTAGTGGTGAGAGACCAAACTATTACTCGTCATTTTAGTGCAATTCACAGATTTCTAGTATCTAATATCATGTTTTGTGCTATGATAACAGACAAATTAGAACCATTTGTATAGTTTTTGTCTATCAGTTCTTAACTATTTTCAGTTCTTTCCCATGTCCTTGCCTGTGACCTGATGTATTTCAATGGCCCCTGGCTCCCATCATTACTCAGTACATTTTGTAACAATCTCAGTCTTTTTTATTTTATTTCAAAAAAAGATTTTGCTTCTATAGCAAAGACTGCCTGCAACCATAAGTATTTTGTCCCCTCTCTGAGAGCCACATCCATTCCACATAATCTTCTTTTTAACAGAGTAACTGGCACTAAATGCAGCACTGCTGGTAGGACTACTGCTACTATTACCCTGAGTACTGGTATTGGGATAGCTTCGACATTGCTTTATCCTATTCTTTATGTAGCCTCGTATTCCTTTAATGTAATCACTGCTGCAGCAGATCACAGATTCTCACTGAGCTATCCACGCTTACTCCCTAAATCTTTTTTCCTGAAATAAAATTATGCCTCATGACTGAGACCAAGCAATACAGCTTTTCTTAGCGTACTCCCCTGGGATCAGGAATTTCTCTGTCAACGGACACATACATCAATGCTGAGATGAAAAGCAGCTTGTGGAATGAATTTTAAACATGTATCACATATTTCATTGCTTCTGCTTATGTGCTCCTCAGAAAACCTTTTTAGAGTGTTTCAGCATATACCTCCTGGCTGCTCCGGGCCGTTAATAGGGTTTTTGCACAGGCATCAGGGCAAAAGAGTTATTTAAGGTGCTGACACTTCTTCGTGAGCCCCTCCTGAACGTGAAGTTTTGGTCGAGTTTCCTGTTTATTTTCAGTGTGGGCAAATTTTAGCTTTTATCCAAGCACAGTAACCCACAAGCTTGTGAAGCTGTAGTGTTATCTTATCTCTCACTGGCAATTTTCACCGGGGGAATGTGGCTCTTGTCTTCGGATCACTTTGTCGCAACAGGACTGCGTGTTCCAGCCCGAAATTTTAAGTGGTCAAAAAGCGGGGGCAAGTCTGCCGTTGGCCCCTTGCCGCTTTCGGGGCACTTGCAGCTCCATTGATGCCTGGGGTCTTCCAGAAGTGTTTAGATTTCTCTTTTCCTGGTTTTTTTTTGGGGGGGAGGGTGGGTGGATAAGAGCAAACCCACGCATCTCTAGATTAGGTCAGTTCAGCCAGATGTGGGAACCTTTCTTCTTCTACTTCCCTGTGTGCACAGAAATGCACTGCTGTCCTCAACAGAGAGCTGCTGATTTTTGTCTTTCTGGGATAGATCTAGTTGAGTATAAGCAATACACGTAGTTAAATATCATCTCCATTTGGAAAAGCTATGCATGGACAGACAAAGCACGATGAAAACAGAGCCGGGGGTTATCAGCACAGGTTGGTGCAGGAGCGGTGACCTATATAAAAAGTGTTCATTGAGTTAGCAGGAGACACAGTTAAAATAGCTTGTGTGCTGGTTTGTTAGGGAAGAAGCGTGTGATCCTTTAGCAAAAAAGTCATTGTGCAAACATAGGACAGGATTTTTCTATGAAAATTCAGTGCAAAAGTCACTTTGGGGATAGATTCGTTTCCAGATAAAAGTCAGGCCTGGTGTGTGAGGTTCACCTTATTCTGAGCCCTCTTGAACTTGCTGAAAGGAGATGATATATTGCGATTAGGAAGGGCTGTGAATACAAGAGAAAAAGGGAGGGGAGGGAATTCTTTGAGAAAACAGAGCGGAAAATGCAGTTGACAAAAGGAAAAGCAAATACAGAAAAGCTGCGGGAAATAAAAAAGACAGACAAGGAGAAATCCCAGGAGAATACTGAATGTGCGTGTTTATGTGTTTGTGTGAAAGCTTTTTCTTTAGGTTTAACAGCACCCAACTTGTACAAGTTGTGATTTACATAGATTGAAGAGATAACACTGAGGACTAGATGTTATCCTGTTAATTAAGCTGCCATTACAGAGTTACAAGTCCACCAAAAATCATTCCACGTTTGAACTGATTGATACCTTCTGAGGCGTGTAGCACCTAACTTTAGTCAGCTGATATTTTTGTAGAGCTCTAACATATAGCACCACCTTCGCTTTAATGAGAAAGCTCCCGCCTACCCCGTGTTTTTATATTGAGTCATCCTGGGGGAGAAAAATCGTACTTCAAAGTACAGAATAATGGGTCAACTAATTAATTCTTTTAAATTGCTAGAGAAGTTTCTCCAGTATTAAATTCCATCCTGTTTCTTCCCATCACCCAACCTGAATCCTTCAGTTTTCTCTCTAGAACCATGATTTCTCTAAATCTGGTTGTGAATTAGCTGTCTAGAACTGAAACTGCTTTGCCTGCCGTCACATTTGGGCACTTTGGACCCAGTTAGAAATAGGAACCCTTGTACCTGTTGTGGTGATAGATACCATTAAAAAGCATTTATTTAAGAGTGGTGGCCTGATAGCTCTCAAGACTCAGTGGCCGCATTTATACTGTTAGAATAAATTAAACAGTGCCAAAATTTGTTTTCTGACCTTAAGACCAATGGGACAGTCTAACCATGTCTACGAAGCTAACCTCCCTTAGCCTCCAAGCAGATGGCTGCATTCGGACTAACTAAAAATGTGGTTTATCTCGAACCACCAGAGATCATCTGGAAGGGTTCAAGCCAGCCTCAGCCCAAACCATACCAGGGGCCCTCCTTACATGTTAAAAGCATAAAAACATACTACCAAATTGCAATGCTCATGCCCGTGCCCTGGCACTGTTTACAGGGATGGAGGCAGCCCGTATTTCTGGGTTGCCACCCATGAGCCGAGGCTCCCGTTTCAGCTCTGCCACAAGCTTTTCGTGTGACTGTAGCTGGTAGCTTAGGGTAAGGTTCATTCCATTTAATGGGAATTAATGGTGAGGGCGTCTAATTAAACTAGTCATGTGGGCTCCCTCTCTGATCAGAAAAGGAAGAGAAAGCAAATTCAGAAGGTGAGTCATCCCGTTTTCAGACGGGTGTCAGAGACAAATGAGATGAATTGCCCTCTGGAAGCAGCTATTTCTTTCCATTAACTGTAGAGGAAGTCTACATTAGAAGAGTTTAGACTAGAAGCCTGATTTATGAATGGCTGAAGCTAGGTAAAATTAGCCCTGACCTTAATCTCTCTGCGTGCTCATTTCTCCATATGTTGAATGATAGAAATAACGCCTTCTCTGCCTCACATTCAGAGGTGCCTTTAGGTGAGGAGCATCCTATGACTACTTTGAAAATAAATTAAACCTAGAAGTAAAAAACACAACAATTAGAGATGTAAAAATCTTTATTCTGAAACACCTAAATGACAGTATGAACAGGACCAACCTGCCGGATGGGGCATCCTGAGTGTTTTCGTCTTTTTTTCCCCATTACATTTTGACAAATGAGTACCCATAAAAACCTGTCCTAGATGTGGCCATACGGCCAGGCCACAGGCAGCCTGCTTCTGGGGGACGGGAGTGTTAAGGAAGGTGACCAAGGAGGTGGAGGGCAGTGCAGGACCCAGTCTTGGCCAGCAGCTTTGATGATTTTCTTTGCTATACCCACACTTCTTAAATGAAGGTGACCATTTACTTTTTGGAAAGGCTCCCAGGTTACAGCGAAGTGGAAGCTAAGAGCTAGCTGTGACAGAGTGAAACACAACAAAACAAAGCAAAAGAAGAAAAACATGCATTTTCGTAGGAAAAATCTCCACAACATATAAACCAGGCATGGAATTACTGTCCTACTTGGTAACACTTACTTACACCTGAGGCTTGCTTTTGGAAGAACGCTTTGCCCCTTTAACTAGCCATGCAGTTAAAGCAGCAAAAAGAAAAAAAAAAAAAAAAAGACCTTGTGTGGGTGGCCTCATAAACGCGTTATTTTGATTCAAATTACAACATATTACACATCTCTGCGGGCACAGTTTTACTCGATACGGCTTTCACCAGCACAACCATGTCCGAAACACAAATCCCCACACCAATGTCACTATGTTATTATCAGGGGATAGCTGAGATACCTGTAAAGTCCATTAATCTAATAACAGGTCCTTAGAGACCATTTTGATTTTTTTTTTTTTTGTATGATAAATTATTAAACCTTGTTATTAACGCTTTTATTTTATGATTTGCTGTTTCCAGGGCACAGACAGAAGCTTGATGACTCTAAACCTAGTTTGTTCTCTGAACGCCTCAGTGATTTAGGGCGCATTCCTCATCCCAGTATGAGAGTAGGGGTCCCGACCCAGAGCCCACGGCCCTCTCTGAACTCTGCACCAAGTCCTTTTAATCCACAAGGACAGAGTCAGATTACAGGTAAGAGCCAGAATCATAGGTTTGACTTGCACAGGCAATGGTAGTAATTGCATATGGATATTTTTGTCTCAACTGTAGTAAAAAGAGGCTACTACAGAGCGAGAGACGTGTTCCAAGCAAAGCTAGGTGGGAAGTGGATTTTGCTGTAGCATTTGAAGCTGAAAATGTCTTTCTTTTTGAAAGTGTCTTTCTGCCAAATGTCCGAAACCGTCCATCCGGATAAACTGAGTAGGAATCTAGTGAAATTCTAACTGCCATGTTGGTCTGCATTTACCTCCGTATGTGCAATAGTACATGTTAGTGCAATGAATGCTTTTATTCAGCAGTTATTTTGCACTGGTGGTGAGGAAAATAGCCAGCATGCAACGGTCATTCTAGCAGGATAATAATATAATTTACTGCTGTAGCAGTTTCCTTCTAGCACCAGTGCCTATCCCTGTTACAGTAAAGGAACTGGATTACGTAGAAATCTCCAAAGGTTGCTTGTGAGGACTGTATGCAACGCTTATGATTGCATGCTGAGAGACAGATTTGATTGTGCCGAGAGAAAACACAAAATGCCATGTGTCACAAATTACAAGACTGAAGTAAGATATTTGTCTGCAGCTATGCCAGCAGTTTGCAACAAAACTGTAAAGCCTACAAAATAAACCAATTTTGTTATTTTTATAAATGCAGAGCTTTAGCAGATTGACTCAATGTTTTCAGAAGAATTTCAAAACAAGCTGTATCTAATTCTAGCCGTTTCTACCCTAGAAACTTATGCTGACATATTTGTCTCTATCCAGGATGTGAAGAGGTGTTGCACCTGACCAGTTCAGTTGCTAGAACTATTGGAGAACTTAACATAGATGCAGGTCTGTCAGCAAAGCTTTTGAGTCGATTTACTAGAGCAGTTTAAAACTTAGTTTTGGTGCTGTACTTGCATCTACACCAGGAGTTGTTTGCCAAGGCAATATACCAGTATTCCTTTGCTGGTAAAGCACTCCTAGTATAGACATAGTCTTTGAGTCAACCTAGGAAGATTTCTGGTTTCATGTTTCAAGTGGTTTTGACATGATACCAGCTGAAACTTCGTGGTTTTAACAAAGTGTTGTGGCTTTCTTCTTCTTTCTTTTTCTTCTTTTTAAAGTTCAACTGGTTTATTAATTTGCACTAAGGAACAGAAGTAAGTGGGTTAATCTGAACTCAAACGCTCAGAGAATTGAAACAAAAAAATTGTTCCCATGAGCTGTGGCAAAGTTCTTTCAGATCTAGAAGTCTAGTTTTAACTAGTGTAAAATATTTTTAATATATTAAATATGTTGATAGTACTCATTACATGGTACCTGCTGCCTGCCAGCTTCCCAGAGCAGGTTTTTTGGCCAGGCTTAGTGTTTTGTTAGTTGGACATCCATGAAGCCAGGACTCTAGTGCCCGTCGTCTTCTAGGTGAGGACTGCCAATCTAACCCCCTTTTTTTTAAACTACTCTCCTCTGTCAGACGACATTTTAGGACACGACAGTTCCTAGTAAAGTGGGGGGG